AAAGTCTGGGTCACCGAACTCGTTAAGAAGATATGACAATCACAATATACCACCTTTACCCCAATATGGCACCATCTTGACGCTCATTACGAGTAACAGCAAAATCACAACAGCCCGATATTTATTGACGTTTTTAGCGCGGATTTTGCTTTAGTAAACCTATCTTGTAATTATTTTTGAAAAAAATATTGTGTTTTGAGCAAAATAAAACTACTAACGTGTACAATTCTGATCCACAAATGTCTTTTCCACATTTCTTTACATATCTTTGAGAACATGCATTGATAAAGGATTTTTTTCAAGATCCAGAAATGATTTTTCTTTTAATTTCGGATATGAAATGTAAAATGCAATAAAGAAATAAATTATCAGTTAAAAAACGGGGGTCACCGATCGTTAGGGAATTGTGGCATTAAAACGTGAAATACAAGTAAATAAATATATTTCAGACACAGGGAACCCTAGCTACACTTTTGTATGCCTTTTTTGAAAACATTGATTTTAACGTAATTAAATTCTTTGCACGAATGTAACCAAAGATGTTTTGAAGTAACATAAAATTGTCATAAAATGATTTTTTTTAAAACGGTACGTATAATGGATAAAAATATAAGTTATAAGATGTGCGCAGTAAAAGTGCGCAATGCAAAACTGCGGAATTACCTTAAAGCGAAAGTTTAAATTACTAGGCATGTCCAAAGGTCGCATCTTCACGTGATGGCGCACGTGATTTTTTTCGTTATTCGCCGGTCGATAACGTATTGTTTTGCTCTCGCACTGTTGCGAGGGAGACAGCCTAATTTCGTCACTCTCACGTGATATGCTCTCAACCGATAAAACACTAGAAAAATGCGACTTGGACTATTGGTATATAATAATAATATACACTTAATGTCTGCACCCGAGGGAAATAGTTTTGTTTTCCCGAGAATCTCAATGTTTCCCGAGACGAAGTCGAGGGAAACATTGATATTCGAGGGAAAACAAAACTAACTATTTCCCGAGGGAAAAGACGTTAAGTGTTTTGTTATATAGCGACGAAACAAATATTAACATTGAACAACATTCATACAACAATATTTGTATTTCATGACAAAAACTCTATAGCGTAAACGAGTTTAAAATTTAAAAACCCTACTTAAATGGTTTCAGCAGCATATCTTGTTGCTTGTTATGTATTTTTCTTCTCTTTTACATTCTTTATTTTAACACAAAGCCACGAAAACCGTAGTTTAAATAGTGTAAATTCGTGCCGCTATTTTGTTTATTTATGTACGTAGCCGTCGGGGCGGGCAACAATTTTCACTTATTGCCCGGGCGGGATACATTGCATTTATCTAAAACTACGTGACTACAAATCAGCCAATCACGTTTGGTGTTCACACTAGCTATATAACAAATTTATTTATTTACCTCACTCCCATGCATCTGGGCTTCTCAGTCACCGATTACATCAAGTATTACGCTTTCTTATATTCCTACTGATATGTACACGGTAAAAATTGAGAAAATCAACAACTTGTTCCAGGTTGATATCAACAGGCGTGAACAAGGTTGTGCGGCCCACTATGAACAGTATTGTCAACATGTTGTTGCAGCATTGTTCTACTGTAACAACTTGGAAGAACATGGTTGATAACTTGCTCATATAGTTGGCCGCACAACATTGTTCACGCCTGTCGATATCAACTTGGAACAACCTGTGCGTTTTTAGCCGTGTAGCTATAGATTATTTATATTTACAACGACTGTGCTATTACTTTCTTATACATCCTTGTTAAAAATTTCGTGGTTAATCTAAAATTAACACTGTTTGGGGTAACTTAATGTTCCTGATTAACTTGAGAAAACATATCTGGTTAATTCAACCGTATAGCCTGGTTAAATTGGCTACGATAGTGATCAAGTTACCCAGGACTGTGGCTAAATTAACCAGGAAATTTAACCAGAAACATTAAGTTACGCCAAACAGTGTTAGTTTCATACAGATTGGCCTGCAAATTTTTAATTGACCTGGGTGTTTTCAAAGTGTAACTATGTTTATCCCAACCCATGACCCTTGACAAATTTTCTTGCGTGGGAGGAAACCGGGAGCAGCTCGAGAATACCAACGACGACTTTCGGCAGAGCGTTGACACTGACTCTTTTCACATGAGTCCGTAGCGAGAATGGAACCCACGAACTCAGAGGTGAAAGTCGCTTGCTTTGACGACCACGCCACACAACACAACACAACACAACACTACACAACACAACACAACACAACACAACACAACACAACACGTATATAGGGTTGAAGCAGTTTCAGTTTTAGATAAAAAAACATTAACATAAAAGTAACCCTTCAGGGCTCATAGGCATGTGCACCTGTTTTTCAAGGGGTCGTTTAATTGTTATACGTATATGTATTTCATCATGGCATAAACCTTATCTGTCCACTGCGATAGTGGCAAAGCGGCAAAATTTATATGTTCGAGAAATTTAAAGAACTGTTTACAGATTCTGTGAAAGCGATGTTGACCACAACGATAATTACGATATATCGTCTCTCATGTTTCTGCCTTCGATGCGATAATCATGAGTGATAATATCGAAATATCGTCCAATCCTAAACACAACACAGCATAGTTCTCTATATATACTCGTGTGCTTTGAAGGGGGACAGAAAACGTTATTTCCCGGTAACAAAAATATCAACAACGTGGCGCAGTACAACGCCTAACATGTATGATAACAGAAGGCGACAAAAACTAGTTCTATACAGTACAGTACCTTAAGTATATTAAGGGTGTAACACCACAGTTTTTCGATTTTTGGTTTTGTAAATTCACTTATTCTTGCCCAACTCAACTCCATTATTTTAATTTAGCTTGTTGAACCACTGTTTTTAATCGTCGTCCTTTGTTAAATCGCCCAGCACGGTGGATTTTGTTGTCATATCTAACCAAATATAGCTATATATGCAAATCATCCTTTCGTGGATTCTCATGTGAAAATTGCTATATGTGAGAATTTTTTTTATATAATTCATATTCTCGCTTCGTTGAATTAGCTTTGCTAAATAGCATGCAGCTAAACCATTAATCGGCCAACTTATATACCGAGGTAAGCGCCTGGCTTAATTAAGTCAGATGATTATACCTCTACAAAAGTGTGCGCGGTAGCTAAATAGGTATTCTGTTTTCTTTACGTGATATATAAGTAACTTTCATTTTCGTTTTTTACGTGCTACAACTTTCATTTTCGTTCTTACTACATTGCTGTATAATTCGAATTTATATATTTGTATTTTATGTATGTGTGTACTTATGTACATATCATATATACGTATTTCGCTGCTTCGGGATTTGCACCTTATATGGGACTTCGCGTTCCGTTTGTGCTTATGCCATTTGAGTACATATTAATTGTATATACCGTACCCTGCAGATTGCATTCTATTTGCCATTTGCATGCATGGCGACGTTGCAAATTTTTGCAAAGGAATGTGTAATTTTGTCACCCTATACCAAACAGTTCATTTCCTCAAGAGGATTCGCAATTTCGCTTGTATTTATGTAATGTCAACTGTCGTTTCTCTCAATTCTTTTGACGTTGGGAATTGCAGGTGAAGATATATTTGTTCTCCCTGTTGAGTGTGCCGCTGTGCATGGTGTTATTAAATAGATCACATTTAAATCAACACGCAGGGAATTTTGTTGTTTGGGAATATTTTGGAATTTTGTGAAGATCGTAATTAAAATTGCCATACATGCAGGGTGCAATAATTGTAGATTTTTAGTCGTATACCTGACTGATACTGCAGCGGTTATTGCCGGCTATACCTGAGCTGATACCAATGTAAGACTCAAGGTATACTTGTATTTGTATATGAACCTATAATCACTTTTAAAAGTTGTTGGGACACATGTAGTTTTAGATTGTAAGTGGGTCATTATATACAGTTTGTTACACACAATACCGCTCCCCTCCCCCTCCCTAATCAATGTTGCTTAACTGACGAGAAATGGCACAGAACATTGAATATAGGGGCGGAGAGGGGGGTTGACGTTTGTTGAAATTCTAGGGTTTTGTGGCATCTGTCGCAAGATATTTAAAACTGATTGTAGTTATGCCCTTCGTTAACACATATATAAAAATTCAATTTGTTTTCACATGAAAAACGGGCCAGCCCTGGCTATTCTTAGGTTTCATACGACGTCACAAAATTGACCGGGGGCAGGGCGGTCAACAAAACACAGTTATCAGAGTGAGTCGATTGTTCGTTTTGTGTATTAGCCTTGTGTTTGGTGCCAAATACATGGAATTTCGTATCATTTTCTCACTCCAGTACAGCATAAGCATCAATACATTTGAGGTTGACCCCTCGTCAGATTCACTGCATAATGCCCTAGTGAAACCCAAGAATAGGAGAGATCTCGCCTTGCTCTAGATGGGATCTCAGTCAGATGAGATAACATTTTCCATACGAAAACTTCATCCCACCTGACCTGGATGGATATTTTCTGCCGATTTTGACCTATAATATATAGTACCGTCGCCGGACCTCCGTTTGCGACGACGCTTTTACTTATGTCTTAATGATCAGGCAACGTCAACATTTTTCTTGACAGGAGGATGTTAAAATTACCGAAGAAGATGCGAAGAAAATGGCTGGCAGCCTGGCTGTATGTTATGTAATGTATATTTCCAGACTATTAAATATGAAATCCTTCTATAGAACTATAGAACTATAGATAATTATTCATTTGCAGATAGTACTGTACGTCAATGAATGAATGTTTATTGAAATTTCTAATCAAAACGTCTTGAATAAAAATGACTTCTTAGCTATTAGAAATTATAAAAATTCTTATAGCTTGTATACACCACATACAGATCAGTGGCTAATAATAGAAAACGTACCTGCGTTCCCGGTTTCCCAATCCTACCTATCTTTTGGCTACTGAAATCACTGACCCTAATCTTTTGATCTGAAGTTTGCAAAGAGCTTGGCGCAATTGTTCGCACCCATTTCGTGGCGTTAGTTTCGTACTGGCTAAATAAAGTTTAGCCTGTTTGTTTGAGTTCTATATATAAAGTGTGTTGATATAATATTTAACAAATATTTGTACTATGTTTGCTACCGTAATTGACCTGGAATAGCATTCTCATGCGTGAAAAATTATAAAAAATAATTAAAAAAGAAAAGAAGACCCGAGTTTTTGCAAGAAGAATAGGAAACCCAGGTACTTTTTGGCTGTTTGTTGTGAAAATTCCTTCCCTTAATCCTTATTCCCTTCGCTACAATCTTGGACATAACTGGTTGAGACTATTTTTGCCCCTATAGAAAATTCACATAATTTTATGATAAACTCCATGTTGAATCATGTTGCTCTTCTTAAACCCCCGCTCCCCCAACTCAATGTTGAGCTTGTGTCATGGTACTGTTGTATATTACCAAAAGTTGTTTCGGCGTTGTTCACCTGCAACATTGAACTGGGGAACTTTGACAAAACAAATTTTGTTACCGAATGGTCTCAAGGGTTTTGTTCAAGATTGTAGCTTTGTCATTTTGATTGGTCCCAGGGCCTGGACGATCTGGACTCAGACTTGCTCGGCTCTCTGGGCAGAAAGAAAGTTACCTCGCCAAGAAATAAACCTGGCAAAGATTCAGACACGCAGGACAAACATCCTGATGTGAGACGAAGAACCTCGTCAGGATCGTTGCATCGCAAAGGATCTGTTACTCCTTTTAGTGGTACGTCAATCATTAGTAGATATCAAGATTTTGTAGGCATCTCACTCGATTGAAAAATAGTTGGAAAGTTATCGAGTGGAAATTTATACAGAGACGGATTTTCATATTTTCGTTCGGGGGGTGGATAAATATCTGGGGGGGTGCTGCTGCTTGCTTTGGCCGGGGCGTGGTGGCAACGCCGGGAAAGGCCAAAGAAAAAGTTTAACAAAATTTGTTTTCTAGGCCTGCATGGCGAGATCTGAGACCATAATATTGGTAATTTTACAAATTTAGTAGTAAGAATAATCAAATATGAAACTATCAAATCAAAATATATGTAATTTGCGGGGGTGCCAAATGCCTTTGGGGGGGGGTGCAAATAATTTCTGGGGGGGTGCGCACCCCCCCGCACCCCCATAGAAAATCCGTGCCTGAATTTAAACACATTCATTTAACCTAACCAGAAACAGTTGCGAAAAATGTAACTATAGGTTCTTGGCAGGGGTTCCTGGTTAGGTCTATTAAATGTATATAAATTTCCACTCGATAATTTCCATCTACAAAACCCTCCAACTATTATTCAATCGAGTTAGATGCCAACAAAATCTTGATATTTACTCATAACCTAAACATACATGGCAGTGCCCTAGCATGCATACTGTATATACATGAACTTGTGATTAGAGCTCGACAACTGGTTTCTGTAGCTTAGTTGGTTGGAGCGCTGCACCGGAATCTTAAAGTTCTGCATTTGATTGTATTCTCAAACAAAACAGTATTGTTTTGCCCAGTTCGTAGGCTATACCTGCATGGTTTTGGGAGCGTAAAATGCAAGGGGATGATCTCCCTTCTTCATTTGAATCGTATATATTTTTTCATCCAATTCAATTTTCGTAATTTTGGACGACATGCAGTTAGTGTTTCAACTCTTTTAATGAATTCTCCTGACATATGTAAAAATATTAATTCATATTCATATTAATTCTGACACTGCAGTCTCGAACCTCTAATAAATTGTTGTCTCGAGCGGGTATGTAATTAAAATCGTGGTGGAGATAACGCTTTTTCTGTACATTTTTGTGAACTTTTTGTGAACAGAAGAAGATGAAATTGGTGTTCTGGACAACAATCTGATGCTAAGTGATAATGATGATAATGATGATGTTTTGAACAGTAGTATGAACAGTACTACATCAAAACATCGCAAAGTCTCACCTAATAAGATCTCACCAAGAGTTAACTTAGAAAATATGCCTGAAGGAGGTAAGTCCTGCAATAGACAGTTGTCTCAATGTGGTTTAATGGATTGTTAAACTACTGATGGAGCTTTCCAGTAGAAATAAGTTAATTCAGGTTTATTTCATTTATATTCTTTATTGGTTTTAAGATACGAAATCCAAGAAACCAGAAAAGGCCTCAAGATCGAAAGAAGTCGACTTTGATTCGGATTCTGATCTTCCTGGCTTGGACAATAAAGAAGCTGAGTCAGCAGTTAAGAAAAAACCATCATCTAAACGTAGAAAAGCGAAGAAATCAGATCATGGAGATCTGTTCGGAGACGATGATGATCTACCTGGTAAATATAGTTTTCACCAGTTCATTTCTCCCAATATGTGTCTACTTTGATCATACGCAGCCATTTTATTTATTAATTTAACTTTGCCAAAGACCATGGTATACATATTACATTATAATATAGTCATCCACCGTATATGAGCTGTTCTGCAATCTGATTGGTTGAATTACTCGCCGTATATCAGCTCATATACGGCGAGTAGCGAAAAACAAGATGGCGGTCCAAAAACTACATGAGAGTTTGCGAAGCAGAAAAAGGAAAATATTCGCTTTGAGAAACATAATAGTGCAAGGAAAAACTCTCAAAAAAAATTTGACAGGTTAGCAAAATACATTTATTACGTAAAAATTAGTTTAAATACAAGTTTTTTAAAGAATTAATACCGAAACAACAGCGAAAAAACATGTTCATTGAGAATATAAATTGTTCAGAAAAGTTTGCAATGAACAACAAATGAATTTGCAGTCAACAAGCACTTACTATAGTACCAAACATCTGTATAATATATCTGAGCTTTCCTGTGAGATATAGAGGTTCTAAAACCATTTCTTTCACTTCGTCTTCGAGTTGTAAACAAAAGTATTTCAAATTTTCAAGCGGTTTTTGGCCGAACAAATTGTCAACACATTGTAACAGTGAATAATTAATTACTGCTTCAGTTAATGGCAAAATTAAACTATATTATAAAACAATTATACCATTCGCTCTCGTCGTATATGGCTGATATACGACGAGAGCGAATGGTATAATTGTTAATTATGTGCACAAGTTTTGAAAATGCCACTGTGTTCCATGCCATCCAGGCTTTCATTGTTTTAACATATTTGTGACGTCATGCAAAAGTGCTACTTTGAGGCAACATTTAATTTTTCTGATATCTTCGAAATATTTCTCTACTATTAACACAACATTTGTTAATCCCCACAGATCTTGACAGTCCAGCCAAGTCAGGAAAGACCAAGGCTGCGTCTGCATTGGATAGTCTGATGGGCAAGAAATCAAAGTCTTCTACGCCTGATACGAAGAAGACAAAACCAGCCACGCTTGATGACTTTATGGCCAAAGTTAGCACGACCAGCAAAACGTCGCCGAAATCAGGTAACAAGTAACACTAATAAGAAACACGGCAGGTCTACTCTGGCTACTGCGGTCTCGTGTAGTAACAATCCATCAATAAAGGATGGCCCTTACTGGATCTGTAGGGAAAACAATAAAGACTTATCCAGTATGAATGAAGTTAGTGTAGTTTAGGTTCCTTCTGTAGTAACACTGGACCAATAAGAGATTATCTTTTCTGGTCCACTACGGAGAACAGTTTAGAACTTTTTTTTTCTGTGCTGGTGTTGTGTACTCAGGTGAATAATATGTTTGTGATGTTACTCTGAGTGCATATCCACACCGGGCGAGCTTGAAAAATGCCCGGCCACGGTGGGATTCGAACCTACGACCTTTGGAATACTAGCCCAATGCTCTTCCAACTGAGCTACGCGGTCAGGACGGTTCGAGTAAGTGATATTTCGGAACAGTATCTAGTTCCTTCAATACCAATGTGTTCTTGTAATATGAATTTTTTCTGTGCTGGTGTTGTGTACTCAGGTGAATAATATGTTTGTGACGTTACTCTGAGTGCATATCCACACCGGGCGAGCTTGAAAAATTGCCCGGCCACGGTGGGATTCGAACCTACGACCTTTGGAATACTAGCCCAATGCTCTTCCAACTGAGCTACGCGGTCAGGACGGTTCGAGTAAGTGATATTTCGGAACAGTATCTAGTTCCTTCAATACCAATGTGTTCTTGTAATATGAATTTTTTCTGTGCTGGTGTTGTGTAGAACTTACAATTTACTTACAATTTACAATTTATTAAAAAAAACCCGATCTTGCAGCCAAGAAGCTGAATTACAACGGTTACATTTTACAAAGGAAAGGTTTAAGTTAATTATACTATCTATTACTGCTTAAAAATACTAAACATAATAAAATAATTGTAAAGATATAAAATCCTCAGTGACTGCTGCTTTAATTATTAGAACTAGCAGCAATTATAAAAGACTTTTTAAATCGTCCGGTCTTACATTTGGGAAATTTAAAAGTTCTCGAAGTTCTCAGGGAATACGCTACGTCAGTATTCGGATCTGGTAGGAGTGGGTGCAATTTGTGATTTTTATCTTCCATTATTTCTTTGAAGAGTTTGTCGCACGCAATTTGACGTCTCTCTTCAAGAGTTAGAAGCTTAGAATGGGAGAGCGCTTCGGCATATGATTTGGTGGGAAATATGATTTTCATGGCTCGTCGCTGGATTCGTTCAATGTCTTTACACAGATATATGGGAATTCCATAATGAAAGACAGGAGATGCGTATTCGACAACTGGTCGGATACAAGTGCAGTAGAAACACATCGTCTCAGTGGTAGATACTTTGGCACGTTTCAATTGTCGCAAAAAGTACAATCTCTTGGATGCCTTTTTAACAATATTATCAATATGACTATTCCACTTAAGGTCGCTGCTGATAGTCAAACCCAAAACTTTACTTTGGAAGACCAAGTCTACCTGTTTACCGTTGATTGTCAGAAGGGGAGGCTGCTGGTAATTAGTGTTGTATCTGCTAAATTGTATTCGCATCTCTTTACATTTGTTCTCGTTGAGGGTAAATTTCAGGGTGTTGGATTGGTTTTGGATATCATCGACCTCAGATTGAATATTACTATCCCCTCCTCTGGGTATTACCTCGGCTAAAGTCGTATCGTCTACGTATTTCCAGAGGTTGTTACTGACTGTGTTGAGGTCATTGATCATAAGAATGTATAACCAAGGACCGAGTTTGGTTCCCTGGGGTACACCTGCCGGGACTAGGGACCATTCTGAATAGCAGTCATTGGCCAACTTTACTCTTTGTTGATGATTTGTCAAAAAATCTCTTACCCAATTTATAACACTCGGCGGAACGTCCAGAGAGTGAAGCTTTACCATAAGTAACTGATGATCGATGAGATCAAATGCTTTCCTAAAGTCCAATAGAACAAGTCTAACTAAGGCCCCGTTGCCATCAGTGGCTTTAGCAACATTGTGGACTATGCTAATAAGAGCTTGCGTGGTAGAGGATTTCGGCACTGTTCCATATTGGTTAGGATCCACCACTTTGAGAATCGCCGGTTTAATGACCTGTTCAACTACCACTTCCTCGGCTAGTTTTGAGACTATTGGTGTTAACGAAACGGGCCTTAAATCCTTGTTTACAGTTCGTACAGGCTGCTGTTTTGGAATGGGAATTACATCTGCGAACTTCCAAGCAGCGGGTAAACGATTTTCGAGATAAGAAGAATTGAGAATCTTGCAAACGGGACTTGCTAGTACATCGGCATTCTCTTTGAGAAGCCAACCAGGAATAGTATCTGGGCCATGAGCCTTCGTAGGTACTATACTGGATAATTTCTCGAAAATATACGATTCTGTGGTGGTAATTGTAGATGGTAATTGGTTACTGGTGCCGGACACGTTTAAGGCTTGGGGGTGGTCAGGATTTAGAGGTTGGAACATGTTCATTGGTTCTAGGAAGGTTTGATTTATGGTATTCGCCAAGTGTGAAAGAGATGCGTTGCCTTCGTTGGTTTCATTAGTTTCATCACCAGTGGGTGACAGGCTTTGAAGATGTCGGAGATCATACTTGTGGTTGACTGGATCCATTCCACACAGGTACTTAACAGATTTCCACCACTGTTTGGGATCAGAAACTTTAAGTTGACTGACTTTTGAGTCATAGTATTTACTCAGGCATTGTTTTCGTTCCCTATTGACGCGGTTACGAAGACTTTTAAATAACTGGTCATGTCCTTTCGCTAATGCTTTTTGACGTTGCTCAATTAAGGATTTCAAATGTTTGGTCATCCATGGTGGGTCATCGAGCCGTTTCTTTATAGTTTTTGTGGGAAGGAGAATGTCCATCCCAAACCGAATAATTGATTCAAAAGCAGACCATTTTTCATCACATGACGAATGGGAATCAAGGATTGACCAGTCAAATTCAGTAATGAAGGTGCTGATAGCTGCTTTGTTTCTCGGGTGTTGATTGCGAACTTGGGAAATATCATATTTTGTTCTTCCTGCAACCTTGTGTTTAGGGGTCGAAAGGATAGTAAAATGGTCGGAGAGACCAAAAGGTGGAAGTTTAACTGGCGGGAGGTAAAATTTAGCCAAGTTAGTTAGAATTAAATCAAGGGTTCTCCTTCCACGAGTCGGGAATTTAACCAATTGTTTTAGACTGAAGTGGTTATTTAGACGATGACAATTAGGATTATTAAAGTCTCCAAGTAGAATAAGACCACAATTGTAATAAGTTGATTCGATAAGGGACAATTGTTCAGTTAGGAAGTCAATCATATTTCTATCATTTGCTGAGGGTGGATGGTAAATTGAACCAATGATAATGCAAGATAGGCCCCAGTATAAATACTGTAAAGTTAGTTTAGTTTAGGTTTCCTCCTGTAGTAACACTGGATCAATATGGGATGACTCTCACTGGACCACTATGGAGAACAGTTTAGAACTGATAGAGTTATCCAGTATAAATAAAGTTAGTTTAGTTTAGGTTTCCTCCTGTAGTAACACTGGACCAATATGGGATGACTCTCACTGGACCACTACGGAGAACAGTATAGAACTGATAGAGCTATCCAGTATAAATAAAGTTAGTTTAGTTTAGGTTTCCTCTTGTAGTAACACTGGATCAATAAGATATGATCCTTACTGAATCTCTAGGAAGAACAGTTTAGAACTGATAGAGCCATCCAGTATAAATAAAGTTAGTTTAGTTTAGGTTTCCTCCTGTAGTAACACTGGACCAATATGAGATGATCCTTGCTGGATCTCTAGGAAGAACAGTTTAAAACTGATAGAGCTATCCAGTATAAATAAAGTTGGTTTTAGTTTATGTTCCTTCTGTAGTAACAACGGATCAATAAGGATGACTCTTACTAGACGTCTAGGAAAAACAGTTAGAGTTATCCATTAGGCGTGTTCCTGTAGTAACACTGGAGCAATACATATGGCCCTTACTGGACGTCTGGGGAAAACAGTTAGATATATAGTAGACATAAAGTTTAGGAAAACTTTTGAATATGACTATCTCATCATTGCTATAGAAATCCAAAGTCCAGTGCGAAGTCCATCTTCAGAAGAGACATTCCAGTTCGGAGGTTACATGCCAAGCTCAGCTGGCAGAAAATCCAGGGGAAACACTCGACCAGACTCAGAGACGGGTCGCAGATCTGTGAAATTTTCTGATGGTCTAGGACTTGATGATGATATGTTTAGTTCAAAGAAACGTCCTTCCACTGCACCTGGTAGTCGAAGGAAGAAAGACGAACCGAAAGATCCACTCAATAACACGTTTACAGCTTCTTCGAATAAAGGTAATTTTAAATTAATTGAGAAGCAATTTTTTCTAGAGGGTGTATATAAAAAAGTAATCCAAATTAAGCGTGCTCTTGTGCGCTCAAATATTGAGTGCAGGGCCGCCGCGAGGGGCAGGGGGCTGTTTGCCCCAGATCCACAGATCAAAAGGGGGTCCCAAAGCAAGGACGGTAAAAAATAGTTGGTTAGCGTCCTTAGCTTTTGCCAAAAAGTGAGCGGACGGGCGCTTTTTTTTTTAATTTTTACTAATTTTTAATGCCTTGGTTTTAGGTCCGAAACTGGATTTTCTTGCGCAGTACAAATACCTTTTTATATATTTCAAAATATGATTCATACCGTCATTTTCGCACGCAATTTTGGAATTTATTAACACAATTGACTACAGTCAACAGAAATACTACGTATATTAGAGCCCGTTGACCCATAAAAGTTGGGTTTTTTTTAATAAAAAATTAAAAAAAAATCCTGAGCGGGGCCTTTTTGTGGGCGGGCGAGGACGCTAACCAACTATTTTTTTTTATATGGCCTAATGCAAAATTTCATTGTGTTTGCAGACAAAGCGGATTGGTTAGGTTTAGATGATAAAACGGATTCAGGAAACTCTGGCAAAGCTGGAGTCGACAAAGATGAAGATCTCTCTCCACAAACCTCGTTACAAGGTAGCGTGCTCACGTTTTACCGTGCTCACGTTGTCGCTTGTACAACGCAACGTGGCTCTTACTGGATCTCTAGAGAGAACAGTTTCGAACCGATATAACTATCCAGTATAAATAAAGTTAGTTTAGTTCAGGGTTCCTCTTGTTACTGGATCTCTAGAGATAACAGTTTCGAACTGATATCTAATGGTTTATTAAGTATAAATAAAGTTGGTTGGATTTCCTCTTGTATTAACACTGAATAAAATACGAGATGCTCTTACTGGATCTCTAGGGAGAACAGTTTAGAACTGATAGAACTATCCAGTATAAATTAAGTTACTTTTTTCTTGGGTCTATCTGGGACAAGATCTAACATAATAAAAGCAGGGTTTTAAAATCTAATGGTTTATCAAGTATAAATAAAGTTGGTTGGATTTCCTCTTGTATTAACACTGGATAAAATACGAGATGATAATATTTTGAAACGAGTGTTGAATTTCCACCATTTCTTTTCAGGTTCCAAGTCAAGCATGTCTGGTGATTGGTTAGGACTGGGTGATGACGTCACAGATGATCAGTTGAACGCCAGTCTGACGCCAGTCAAGAGTCCTGAGTCTGACCAGGGCACAGTTCTTCCCGAAAAGAAGCAAGATGACGAACTATCAAAGATGTTAGATCTTGTGCCAAATGGAGCCAAGAATAAATCGGATAGCGTTGACAAGTATGTATTTAACATCTAAACTAGACAAACTCTGTTAGTTCTAAACTACCTAGAGATTCAGTAGAAGTCATTTCGTATTGATCCAATGTTACAGGAGCCAGGAGGAAACCTAAACTAAGCTAACTTCATTTATACTGGATAGCTCAATTCTAAACTGTTCTCTTTAGAGATCCAGTAACAGTCATCTCTTATTGATCCAGTGTTACTACAAAATAAAACCTAAACTAAGCTAACTTGATTGATATTGGATAGCTCAATGCGAAACTGTTCTCTATCGAGATCCAGTAACAGTTACCTCTTATTGATCTAGTGTTACTACAGGAGGAAACCTAAACTGAACTAACTTTATTTATATTGGATAGCTCTATCAGTTCTAAATTGTTCTACCTAGAGATCCAGTAAAAGCCATTTCATATTGATCTAGTGTTACTACAAGAGCAAACCTAAACTTAGCTAACTTGATTTATGTATACTGGATAGCTTTATCATTTATGGACTGTTCTCTCTAGAGCTCCATCGTATGATTCAGACTGTTACTGCAAGAGGAAACCTAAACGAAAATAACTTTATTTACACTGGATAGCTCTATCGGTTCTAGACTGTTCTCAGTAAAGGTCCAGTAAGGACCGTCTCTCATTGGTTCAGTACATACTACTACAGGAGGAAAGGAGAGTACTCAGAGAAACCTGTTATGTTAACAAGGTTGAGTCAAACTGGAAGCACTCTCCTCAAATGTGACTGTGGTATAATCAAGCAACTGCATATTGCAGGAATCAAACCCTGGTCACAGAGCTGGAAGGTGCATGCTGTAATTACTGTGCCACCATCACACAACAGAATCCTGTAACCCTGTAATGTACTATTTTTCCAGATCATTGTTCCCGTGGGAAGGAGGCAAGGCTCCTGGCAGACGTCGACGGCGTGGAACAGCTTCTTCTGCCACACAAGATGGTCCAGACGTGCTTCGGAATGAAACAGAATCTGAGAAAAGGTATGGTCGGAAAGAGGAATAATGGTATTAGTCAAAGTAGTTCAGACACAAAGCACGACAGCTTATTGTCGAATACTACCTACAATGGACCACCACGTTTGAGATAACTTTTTCAGGTAGTTCAGACACAAACCACGACAGCTTATTGTAGAATACTATCCGCACTGGATCACCACGTTTGAGATATTTTTTCATGTAGTTCAGAGACAAACCACGGCAGCTTATTGTAGAATACTACCCACACTGGACCACTAAACGTTTGAGATATGTTTTTCCATTAGTTGAGGCACAAACCACGGCAGCTTATTGTAGAATACTACTCTCTCGAGCCTCCCAAGTTTCAGATATCATGTTTGTACTGTATCATACGGCCATCCTAACATACCTTAATTAGAACTTCATGCAATTATTTTTGTTTCTTGCAGAACATCCGAGGTGCCTGAAACCAAAGTCCAAACTAAATCAACTCCTCAGAGAGCTAGCCCAGTGGAAACCTCCACTCCAATCCAAAATCAGACTCCAGGCAAAGAGTTCGGTCCTTCTGTTGTACCGTCGTTTCCAGGACCGCAACAGCCAGGCCGAGTGTCAGCCCCAGTCTCCTCGGATAGAACTCCATTCTACGGGAGTGATGTAGGCCATGTGACGCCTCACCAAGCTGGGTTTAATGCGAGTCAGTATCGCTCAGAATTAAATAAACAGAACTATGAAGTTGAGCTGAAAGGAATGATAGGAAAAATACATGATGTTGAAAATGAGAAATATAAAGTGGAAATGGACATGGCCAATAGACTGGCTGAATTAGAAACAAAGGTGGGGTATCTAAGTCTAAGCTAAACTAACTTTATTTAAACTGGATAGCTCTGTCGGCTGTTCTCCATAGAGGTGAAGTAAGGATCATCTCTTGTAGGTCCAATATTACTACAGGAGGAAACCTGTTGTAAACTAAACTAACTTTATTTATACTGGATAGCTCTATAAGTTGTAAACTGCTCTCCATAGAAGTCCAGTAACGATATCTATTGTAGGTCCAATGTTACTGCAGGAGGAAACCTAAGCTAACTTTGTTTATACTGGATTGCTTTATATCAGCTGTGAACTGTTTTCCATAGAGGTCCAGTAAGGATCATCTCTTATTAATCCAATGTTACTACAGGAGGAAACCTAAACTAAGCTAACTTTATTTATACTACTGGATAGCTCTGTCACTTTAAATTGTTTTCCATGGAAGTCCAGTGAGGGCCGTTTTTTTTATGCGATCGCTCCTCCCAATATTGCACAGTTAGTGTAAATTGATCAAAACGACTTTTCCCAGTTCAGTGTGTGTTGTGAACCACCTCGAAAAAACTGTTGTTATAGTTTACCATGACACAATCTGAATATTGAGTTGGGAGAGTGCGGACATAAGAAGCACAACAGGACTTTACAAGGAATTTATCATAAGGAATATTCGAATTTTGTATAGAGGGAAAAACAGTCTCGACCAGGTACTGTATGTCCAAGATTGTAGGACTGATTCCGGATTAAATATATTTAGATCCGACGTCTCGAAGTTGAGAACGACAGTCTGAAACAGAGCTTAGAATTGAGCAAGGAGCGCAGTAAGGAGGATATTGCCGCCATTGAAAATTCACATAGGTAAGCATTAACATTGAAATTCTCATTGAGAACTGAAGCTACAATTCGAGTTTATGAATATTCGTCCAGGTTTGAATTGTGTTATAATTTTATTTATGTGCCACGTGAGCATGAAATTTATCATCGTATCACGCTAAGACGTATTCATCGTATTTGACGTAGCGGGTGATTTGATCACATCACCCCAGTGAACTGTAATAACACTGGAACGCTAACTGCAGGTAAACATGCCCATACTTGCCCGAAGCCAAGATGGCGCTTCTCGCAACCTCAGCGAACAATAAATTAACTTTCAAAAGGACTGGGGAGAGTTTCGAGGAGCGGGAAATTCAGTCAAAAGTTTGTTTTTGAGCGAAAATCAGCAAGAAAAAGCACCACTTTTTTATCGAAAGTCTTCAACTTTAAAGATTCAAACCTGGTTTCCTGGATAGTTCTAAGTATTTTACATCCACTAACAGCAAAAACTTCCTGGGTAACAGCTTGATATTCAAAATATTACAGAAATTTGAACGTGCCGAAAAAAACTTCGCACTTTGACTCCTGAAAAAAGAACTTTATAACTGCTCTACGTTCTGGAAACATGTTTTGTATTAAATTTCAGTTATTGTTTCTCTTAGAGTTCACTGCATCACCCAGGTGATGTAATGAATGATTACAGCTAAAGACGAAATTTTGATCTAGGCATAGCTGGAATGAGCGTCTTCAAATGAGTTCAATAGACAATTCCCATTATAGACTAATTTTAAAATTAGGCAAGGAAACTCAAATAAATTACCACAGCTAGAAAGAGCATACTAAAATTAGTAAAATTACAAAGTTTGGTTGCGAAATGTTGTAAAATGAGGAAAATATAGCCTTGTAAAGTTCGCAAATTTTGTATATTTTTGTATTGCTTGCGGAAATTCCTACCACATTCCTACCACATGTAGGCCGAAAATGTCGCACGCAATACAAAAGTATACAAAATTTGCAAACTTTGCAAGGCTATGTTTTCCACATTTTACAACATTTCGCAACCAAATTTTGCAATTTTACTAATTTTAGTATGCTCTTTCTAGCTGTGGTGATTTATTTGCATCTCCTTGCCTAGTTTTAAAATTAGTCTATAATGGGAATTGTCTATTGATCGAAGTGTAGACGTTTCTTCGAAGATCGAATTTAGACCATCGGAAAGCTTGGAAATGCAACTAAAACTTTGCATCCTTAGCTTTCGTTCACTTTTAACTGCAGGTTAGCCTGTCAATGTTGTTATAATTTACCTGAAAATCAGCTCAAATCATCTGGAAATTTACCTGAAATTAGGTATGAACAAATATTGGGGGGGGGGGGGGGTTACACTTCCCTCTACCCCCTCCCCGCCGGTTGCTACGGCCCTACCCAGACGCGTTGCTACCACTGTTTATATTGTACACATAGGTTGTGGGATTGACTAAAGCTAAATTTTGTATTAAGTGAACTGAGTGGCAAGGGGCATATACAGTAAGTTTATACATTTACAGTCTAGTTTAGAAGCGGTCTTCACCTCGCCTTTCTTGAGAACTGTTAGTTCTTCTTCGGTTGGTGCAAACTCCTTAAAAACAAGATTCAAGAAACAACAAATGAAATATTGGATACTTATTCTGTTTGTCTAGAACTGGCCCGAAATGCTTGTGATTTTTTTACAAATACTAAAGTAACTATATTTATACTAGATAGCTCTACATCAATTTGATTAAATTGTCCTCCCTAAAGGTCGTAAGGGCAATCAGTTATAGCTCCAGTTCTCAAGATATTGCTCCAGTTTCATACAGAGATCACTGATGACCCCATGAAACAGTGCTTGCGCCTGCACGACAGGTCAGTGGTGTGGCAAATCTAACGCTCAATTATGACGTCATAATTTAATTGGTTTGGGAACTGCAGAAATGACCATCAACATCATCAAACTAAACCAAAATCAACTCCAAACCATTCAATGAAAACGTTTACCCTGCCCAGAGAACACGGCTATACATGGGCAACTGTGCTGGACATACCGGCTGGAAAAATGGCCACGAAAATGTTCGCAATCCGAAGAACAAGCAGGGCAACGCAAAATTTGAGGAAACAACGTTAAGCAAGAAGTCACAAGAAAC